ATTTTATCCGAATTGTTAAATCTTATTCGTGTGGTATAAAATTCAAGGTGATTGTTTAAAACACGTGCCGATTAACCTGATGAGGTAGATATCCTTAGTCTTTTTAAGATGTAAGTTTGTAACTTAGAACATTTAACAAATATTCAGCGTGTTTGTCATGAACAAAGAAAGGTGGTTCATAAACACGAACATAAAAACGTGCATATCCATATTAGCATTCTATAAAATATTTTGTGATAAATATGCATCGTAATGATTGACGTTTCACCTACCACCTTTTCCTAAATTCCCATGATAGATGCATTTGCTTTTTTCAATTATTCAATGGAGACATGCATCTTCTCAGACATTGAATCTTTAAAAAAGGATACATATTTTAAAGTCATTTAAAATGTGGTAATCGACTTCTGAAAAAAATAATGGTATAGTGCACGTGGTTGAGAAAAATGTGTATGATAGTTGAAAACCGTGAAGTACAAATAAAAAGATTTTTTATAAGCTGTGAAAAAAATTAAACCTACTCTCCCACAATTTTCATCAAAATACTGTTGCCTTGGTTTTCGATTAACTGCCCACAGCGCTCACAGTGCTTTGATTTCGATACATCAACCCTTTAGTATTACTCTGTGTTCTTTGTTATTCTATCAGTCAATGGGTATAAACTACATATACGTAACTAAATAAAAAAAAAAAAAAACTCAAAAAATGATAAAACTTTCCATGTAATATCTCAATGCTAAGCAAGACAAACCTTTAGAGTTACTCTTCTTTTTTTAACCAGAACTACTGACTTAGTTCTTAACCTGCATGAAAAACAAGCACGGAATATACATGTACTTGAGGTGTGTTGGTACCAAATAGATGACTAAAATTTGTTTACAGAACGTGACATGCCTTAAGACTTATCTAACCTTCAAAGTCACGTTAAAGGAAATTCCTGTACGAACATATATAATGAAGAACCTAAGATGTTGTTATCATTATATACATGTATAGAACTACGAAACAAAATTGTCATTTATCGTAGATTTATTCACAATCCATACTGCATTATGGTAAGTTTAGATCTTTAAGATAATCCGAATCTTTTTTTTTCAGATACTCTCTACACGTAAATGTATTTAAGGATGTTTGCTACTCTGTTTCAAAATAACAAGCTTTTTAAAAGACTGTTCTAAAATGATAGTATATAAATAAAGGAACTGAAAAAGCTGAAAAAAATGAAGGGTCCGTGTGCTTGTTTTCGAGATATAAGCCATTGAAAATTTGGCGGGAAATGATTCTCTCTAGACTTTTCATACTTTTAACATTGGACGCTTTTTTGTTTCAAAAACTATGAAAAATAACAAGGATTTTATAAGATTTTCAAATATGGCTTTTTAAACTATATGTAATGAAATTATGAAAAGAAAAGTAGGGGATTGTGGGCAAAATTTTTGAATGGTATACATGGATAAAACCAGAGGATTCCGAAAATCTGGCAAAAATTCAAAAACAAGAGGAGCAAACATCCTTAAAAAAGCAAAGTTTTGCCGGGTTGACTTGTATCTCCTTGGTGCCATATTTGATGATATTTACCACCTTTTTTAAAGCCTTCTTCCACCTTTTCTTTTCTCTTTCCTATTCGACTGAAGCGTGATATCATTTTGAAGTCAGTCAATGCCAATATAACAAATCAGTTAAAGAAGTAAGATGCATGTACATGTTTATTTTAGAAAAATACTTTCTTAACCTTCCTAAATATTGCATGTTTTGAATCACACATTTTTTTGTTTTCCTCTTGCTAAATACCATAACTTTAGCTTTCTTAACATTTACTTTTAATGTCGACGTTTCGTAATAAAACTGGAAAATATTTAAGGAATTTTATAAACCTTTTTTTGCTTTTGAAAAAAAAAATACATCATTAGCATATAGTACTGTGAAATGTTTAATACACATAAGAAGTTTTTTTTTCAAATTTTTGCTTCAAAATTGCTAATGGGAGAACCTTCTAAATTTCTAAACTATTGTTTCAGATCGTTTCGGAAAATTGAAAAGAGAAAAGGTGACAAATTCTCTCCTTTAGTTAGTTATCTTATAATAATCAGTCATGGAGAAATCTGATAGTTCATTATTGTATTGTTCACAAGTTTGAATACATTGATACATATAAAAAAAATGAGGGTGTTTAATTTGCACTTTATAGACTGTTGCATATTTAAGTGCCAATCTGCCTCAGAATCAGGCAGTGGTGAAAACATGACAAACAAAAACCAACCAGGATTTACGTTAATTTACGTTCAAAATGTATAATGGTGCATGGATATAACATTCGTTTCCTTTTCCGACCTGTTCTGGTATTTCATGATATGATGATATTAAAATGCACTAGAAATTAACAGTTAAGCTAGGGGAGCTAACTCCGTAATTTGTTATCAGTCTAACCAAAAGTTATCTAGTGATTTCTCGAATTACCAGACATGCAGAAACGAAAGACCTAACATTTCTAACTCAGGATGAGGGTAACTTGAAAATAGGATAGTTAGATCGGAGGATTTTTTTTTCTGCCATACTTTGATATTCTTCTAAATTGCCTGATTCGTACAAAGGCTGGTACTTAATACCGTTATTACAGAGACGATTTCAGTTCTCTTCCTGTAATGATCTGTTGTTTTGTTGTATCTTCTTTTATGTAGATTTTGTTGGTCCTCTAGTAAGAATAAAATGATAGTGGTGTTGATGTCTAATAAAAGTTTAGTCTCACCTTTCATACTGTTCCTGTGCCTGTACCATGCTCTAAACCGTGTCTGTGGTTTGTTTACTTCGTATCGAAATGTTTTGTCTAATTCTATTTTGCTATTTAACAAAAAATTGTGTTGATGGTAGATCTTTAATATAATTATAAGAAGATGTGGTATGATTGTCAATGAGACAACTCTCCACCAGAGACCTAATGACATAGAAGTTAAGAATTATAGGTCACCGTACGGACTTCAACAATGAGCAAAATAAAACACAAATAATTAAAAAAAAAAAAACATCAAAGAGCTATTTAATCTATTCACCTCTTAATGGACTCCTGACAATTAAGATACCGATCATTAATCTTTTAAGGGGTCAAGCTTTTTGAAATCAATGGAAATTTTTGGTCTTCAATGCTCTTGAACTTCGTCCTTGATTTGGTCTTTTACCTTTTTGGATTCGAGCGTCACTCATGTAGACGAAAATATAGCCCGGTATCGTTAATGAATTCTAAATGTTTGCTTGTGTCTATCTCATTAATAAGTTTATAAAAAAATCTTGTTCATTCAATTTACATGTAAAGGGAAAATAGTTTACCCGAGAGAGAAAACCCCTACTCCTTTAAATAATGATATAGGAGGGTGTGAATTGGGGTTTAAGCTGGGGTCACACATTCACGATTTTTACTGCCGACCTTGATAGGACCATTCCCGATTAAAATTTGTCAAAAGTCTGACCGAGATCCTGTGAATCGTGGCTGGAAATTCAAACTTTTATTTAAATTTGTAAAAAAAAACTTATTCAATCACGACAACAATCAGATATTGTTCAGGAAGCGTCCAAATTCTGCCGTTTCCATCCGAATTGATCCCGATTTTTCCGTTCTCAATCTGATTCTAATCCGAATGTATCTTTCAAATGGTAAAAAACGACCGAATCTGTCCCGACAGCATCTCGATTCTGCCGAATGCGAACCGACAGACATCAGACAGTGACCAGACAGTGAACCGACGCTGTCGGAACATATCCGTTAGAAAACTGTCGCCATATTCGGGATGATCAGGTACTGTCGGAACGCAATCCTATCACAGTCTGCTGTGCCGCATTGCAAACGGCTTTGTCTGGACTCAGCCGTATCGTTTTCTGTAATTGTCGGGACTCTGACGTGGGTATTATTGCTGAATTTCGCATTAATAACGGGACTGTTCCGGAACGATTTCGGTAAAGACGGTTCGCAATCGGAATACAATCTGGACTCAATCGGCAAAAAAACAGCAATGACTAATTTCTCCATATTATGCCTGTTCCACAGCACACCGTCCAGAAAACACAGAAAAATGTTACGATTTTGATCCGATACAGCAGAATCTGTCAAGACATAGTCACGATTGTAATCCGACAAGACAAAATCGGCTGAGTTTCCCCGAATGTTACGGGACGCACCTAACTGTCGGGGGTGTTTGTCCGACCTGTCTGATCCGTAGGAATCTGTTACGAACGTATACTACAGCGTTCAGACAATAATAGGACATTCCAGATCATTGAGGATAGTAATCCGACTTATTCACTTTTCGAGTCTTAGCGCTGACCGATCTCAAACGGAAGCCATAATCGGCACTTTGTGAACACCGCATTACAGAATGTAGAATAATGGGCAAAACATATAAAGAATAGAGAATAAGGAGGTGCTAAATTATAAAGAATAGAGAATAATGGGCAAAACGTAGAAAGAATAGAGAACAATGGCCTAAAAAATTAAAGAATACAGAAATGAAGGACCCCTATCCAGACCCTCATATAGGTTAATGCCTTAGATGTAGATACACTTTATAGACAAGTTCCAATTGTTGGATACTAATACTGTATTGCTCTTTGATGTTTTTTTTTTTTAATTATTTGTGTTTTTTATTGCTGAAAGCAACACAACACTTACATGCAAAATATCGAATTAAAAATGGCCAAATTTGTTTGCGATTTACGCAGAGGAAATAGGTGTTCCAAAATTCTGAGCTGATATGCATAAAACTACTTAAGTTACGATTTATTCCGAACGGACGGATTTTTCTACATGTCCTACGATAAATTAGTACTACGATTGGATATCTTAACTTAAGTGGTGTTATGCCCTTTACATAGATCCAATACATGAGGACACATTTCGTCCCTGATAGACTTGCAATGTAAACTATATACATACAAATAGAATAAGTTACCGTGAAAAACAAATTTTAATTTGAAGGAAAAAATACTATGAACTTATTTACTTTTGATTTTAGATGAAAAATACTCTATTTTTGTTGGCTGTTTTATGTTTTATACATGAAGCCGTAGGTAAGTTTGATAACTTTTACAAGCAATTATCAATAATAAATAAATTATGGTAAGCTAGATACGCTACCACTATTCAATGAACCAATTTTACAAACAGACCCATCAAACATGTAGGACTGCTGATTCAGGAGACTTGTCGACGGATAAGAACCTAGTCTGGCATTCGATATACTTGCTTTACAAAATCACAGATTGATACAAGACTGCAAATTTAGGATTTAAATTGGTTTTAAATTTGAGTTACCAATGAGATGTGGATAAGTGACTTTTATACTGCATTATCTTTTGTTTTCATTGTGTCGTTGGGTTACTGTCTCATTAAAAAAAATATCCCAAACTGAGGAGAATGTACGGTTTTGAAACAAATTGTTTCTGAAATCAAATGCACTTCAAACTTTCCCTGATTTTCAGAATAAAATGTCATTTAATTATCAAAACATTACATTTTGTTTTGTTTACAGTGAAAAAAAAATCACAGTAAATTCAGTTAAATGACCTATGGCTACTGAACTTACCTCACGAACGCTTAGAAATAATATAGAGCACAACACTCGCTCCAAAAGATATTCACACATGATTTGTGTCTTAACTATTCACACACAAAACCTTACTCTGAGAAACGTTTGTGCCTCATTTTTAAATAGCAAAAATGTTTCTGGAATTTTACTTGAGAACCGGTCTACCTTCCATGGCATTATATTATTCTCCATTTCTTTGTCTTAAAAACATGTTTATCTTTAGCATAACGTTGGTACCTTTATTGTGATTGGTTAATTTGCCATGTTCAGACTTGGGGAATTGAACAACTTTGTACTTGCATATTGAAGATATTAGAACATGTTCCTGGCAACAGAATATGTATGCTTGGAAACATAAGTAACTCGATGATTTTATTTTGATAGGGATCAAAAGATTTTTATTTGACAGCTGTAAAGAGGGAGGACATCGTTGGGTCAAATGCTACGGATGTTTCTGTAAACATGAACAACATTTAGGTATGTAAACGACATAAACATATACACATAAGGAGATGTGACATGTATGACTGCTCAATTCGCACTTTCAGAATCTAATGCATTCTGGGTAATATTTTCAAAAGTGTACACCAAAACGTCGTGATTGGTAAAAAATGTCCTAAGCAATGAAAATTTAACCGATAGCTTGACGTTATTTTCATTTTGGGGTACGAACAATAAAATTACCCACAGTCCTTTAGATTCTGAGACGTTCAATTAAAAGACCATTCATTGGTCAAGGATGTGAACAATCACAAGTCATTTCATGGCCTTCAACAATGGACCAAGTTCATATCGTATATTTATAGTAAGCTATACGAATTCCAGAGATGCATGTAACAGTTTCAAAGCCACTACACCAAATGCGAATTTAAAGAAATAAATGTCTTTTCGGCGATTCTCGAGAACAATTGAAAAATCAAAAGCCTATTATCAAAGAGATGTGAATCAAATTAGAATCAATTCAAAAAAATAAACCAACTGTCTAACATGTTCATATAGTAAAGCTGCAGCAACAAGAACAAATATCCCTGTTTACATTTCAATGAGAAGTGCTTTATAGGGAAAATCTGAGATACAGTTTGGATCAGTTCTAACGTCTCTTAAAATATATCAGAAACTGTAAGGAGAACTGTTCTAGAACAGTCTGTATAAAAGTTCTCCTGACACCTGTAGAACAGTTTCTGACAGAAGTGGTTCAATAATAGAGCCGTTCATGGACAGTTCTAACCTAGAACAGATTGGGACAGATCTTCCGTTCTAGAACAGTCTGTAGAATAGTTCTCTTAACACCAACAACAACACTTTTTATTTATTTGTCAATCAAGAAGCCCCGAGGAGCAGAACAAGTTTCAATTAAAGTGTACAAATAATTGTGGTGATTTTTTTGATTGAACTATTAAAATACATGACAATAAAATTAAAACTATATATTCTAACACCTGTAAAACAGATTCAGACAGACGTGGTTTACCCCTAGAACAGTTCTAACCTAAAACAGATTCGGACAGATTTTCCGTTCTAGAACCGTCTGTAGAATAGTTCTTTTAACACCTGTAGAACAGTTTAAGACAGACCCCTAGAACCGTTTATAGATAGTTCTAACCTAGAACAGATTCTGACGGATCTACCGTACGACTGTTTTAGACAATTGATTTTGACAGTTGTATACCATAAAACAGTTCTATGGTAGAACTGATCCCAACTGTAGTAAAGCTTCAGTCACACCAAATAAGTTCTCAGAACGTCCGAACCAGTCCTAAAAAGACGTAAAACGGGTTGTTGTCCGACTAGAACGATAGCTTTGGCCGAACAATGTATATAACGCGACCCTGGGTAGTTCTTAAACAGTTTAAGATACGTCCATCTCGTCTTAAACCCGTCTGCAGTCCGTTTATATCCAGTTCAGACCGGGTAAAATTGCCGGTTCATCTCACAGCCGGGGACACCGTTTCCGTCTGTAGTCTGTTTAAACCGGTTTGCAACTAGTTATTCTTTGTTCCTTATACGTCGAAAACCGTTGTAACTAGTTCCTAACTCAATCACCTCGTTTACAGACAATTTAATTTGTTCTGACAACGTACTCATCTCGTCCCTAGTGCTTTCAGAACGTAAATGCAACCAATTTCTGGCCTGCTGGCTACAAAACCAGCATGTGCATGCCGGTTCTCATTCTTGTTCGCCACTTTTTATATATGTTTCAGTTGTGCTGGTTATTTTATAACTTGTGGTTTTAAATGATGACACAGCATAAGATGACATGCGGCGATGCTTGATGATTGTCTGATATTCCGTTTAATGCCTATAATGCTATGGTGATATTCGTCTTCATTATTATAAGCTGAAGTGCTGCATGAAAATACATATGTTAATTTGATAAAAAATTATGTGAATTTCGTTTCCCCTCTATACAAACTAGAAATGAATCACCACGCTCACTGAAGAAATTCCTACCCACCCCAAGATCAAGGTTATCTATGTTTCTGTGCATATAACTAACCAAATGATTAACCAGTGCCAAAACGGCCTCTTTTTATACCAAACCTTGTCTAATTTTACTTCAGACGGGTTTGTAAGAACGCAAGAAACAAAGACTCACTAAGGACGTTAAGAGGTCGATTTGGTTTTGTGTGTGAACGGGATAATGTGCTACAAACGGACTCGGTCTATGTGCACACGTACATACAATTTACGACCAACCACACCACGTCATACCACGTCCCTAGTACGTTCGAAGTACGGCAATTCCGTGCATATTACATCCAACTTGATTTCAGTACGTCGCCACTACGTCTAATGGCAAGACGGGGTGGTCGCCCGGAAATTATGAGCAGTCTCTGGAGCATCACACCCGTCCATGAAGTTCGTAAACAGACAGTTAAAAGTTGCTACTACGGTCATTCCGTTTTCGTACAGTTTAAGTCTGTTCGACTACATATTTCAGAACGTAATGAGAACGAGTGGTGTAACTGATAGGGATATAACCCGGAGGACAATGCAAAAAAAAGTAAAACTCGTAGACTATCTGACGTTAAAACCGGCGATTCTTATGAAAATGTCAAGACAAGACACGTGATGATAAACTATGTCAAATACAATTTTATGAAAAAAAAAAAAAAAAAATACCGAGAAAAATTACTAGTCAAAATTTTTATTTTTGAGTAATTTGTCACGATTTACTTGAAATTAAAAGTGTTTTCAATTATTGTTTATTTCATTTCTTTAGAGTGTTTAGATTGCACTAGATGTAAAGGTCTGAGCTGTAAAGGTGAGTACTTTTATGTCATATTTGCTCCTTATCATAGTTTTACACACAATCTGATTAAAATGTAGACTGGTGCGTCTACTTTCTGTTTTGAAGAGCTTTCGAGATTCCCTGGCTTCGTCAGATTAATACTCACCTTCAAAAATTTGAAGGCTGAAATTTCATTGGCTGATGTAATAATTACCAGAAAGTAAAACGGAGTGTTGTTAAATCCTTGTCAGCAAAGCTTTGACACAGGATCTGCATTTTAATCAGATTGTCATACACATAGTCTATATTGCGCGAGTCTGGTTCTACAAAACAGACAGTAGGTGTAATGACAGAATCTGGTAACCTGACTAAATACACGTAGAACTGGCTTCATTCCGGTTCTGGAATTTGATCCTGAAAAAAATACAGCTTCGGATTTTGTTTACATTGTAAAGAAGAAAAAAAATGGTATGATATTATGAGCACTAACATTGAATGTGAAGCAGAAGGTATAAACTCATAGGCTCTGCATGGTATCTGAAATATTTTAGCTTTGTGCCTTAATATAACACAATCACTAAGTCTTTTCTCTGATTAAAATTATACATTACTATGATAAAATTAAGGTACTCAACTCGAATGTTTTAAGAAATGACGCTTGGTCGAAAACTTCCGTTATATTTCGATTCCGCGGTTGTTTATCCCACTGAAACTTGTAAACTCGTAAATTTATTTTAAAGTATTTACAAAATGGTGTATAACACGCATATTTCTGTTGTCGGAACCATTCGCGGATCGATATATAACGGAGTATAATTTCTCGAAAATGCGAGTTGGGTACCTTGTGTTATATGAAGTTATATAGATAATTATTTTTTCCAGACAAGATATTAAAGAAAAATAGTTATTCTAAATCATAAGTAGTTTTTTACTTTACGTTTTAGATCAAACAGATGCGCCAAAGACTCATGCACCTCACATAACTCATGCACCGCATGCAACTCATGCACCCCATAAAACTCATGCACCAGTTGTTACCCATGCACCATTTACTACAAAGTCAACACATACCAGTGTATGTGACATCGTTGCTATTTTTGATGCCGTTGCAAGAAATCAATTTGTCCATAACTCACGAGCTGCACAATGTCCTAACGATGATGGTCACCATGATAATGATGCCTTAGTTATGACACTGTGCAACGCCCCTGTCAGTTCTGAATGGGTTGAAGGCGAACAGGTAATTCGTAATTGACTGTATAATACAAACAATTAATGATCACGTGATCACGTAAAATACCTGTATGTTAAGAACTTCTTAAAATTATCATTCAAGGATTTGGACTTCATTAAATTGACAAATCACGTTACTTTATTTATTTGGAAATAAAATAACCAAAGAATGAAATCTTCCATTTTACTTTATTTTTTTAAGCTAATAGTTCAAGATAGAGGCGAAAGATACCAATAGGATATTTAAACTCATCAATTGAAAACAATCTGACAGTGCCTTGGCAAAAAAAGAAAAACGACGAAAAGACAAACAAAAGTACACAAAACACAACATAGAAAACTAAAGACTAAGCAACTAGAACCCCAACAAAATCGAGGGGCGATCTCAGATTCTCTGGAAGATTACACAGATTCTGCTTCACTTGTGGCACCCGTCGTGTTGCTCGTGTAAATACAAACCCAGTGATAACTCTATTTCGGTAGGTCACATTCGAGGAAAAGAGGACGGTATTGTGGTTACGACTATTGGAACATATCCGTCGTTATCTGTGAAATAGATACTCCATACGTGTATTGGGTTTTATTCGATAGTTTCCATACATCTAGTGATTTTTAAATGGCATTAATAACTTACTTTTACAGGTACTTTTAAGGAATGGCACGTGTTCAGAATTAGCTAAACCGTACACTCCAGTATTTTATCATCCGCGGAAAAATGTAAGACATGCAGGCATACTTATATCATGTGATGGAAATGAAATAAGGGTAAGTATTGTACTAGATTTTCCCTTTTCATTCCACACATATAATCTCTTTCTTATATAAGCAAAGAAATTGATTTCGATTAATATTGGCTACCCATAAGTTTTATTTTAAAGATCGTTCATATCTTGAGAAAACGATTAATACATATTTTTGATAAAATGATAAATATTACAATATAAAAATTAGAAGATGTGGTATAATTTCAAATGCGACAACTCTCCACCAGAGACCAGTATGTATTTAAATATGTGGAATACTACAACGCTAATGAGGAATACTTTAAATTCATTTATTAATAGTTTGATCGTTAGTGTTTTAATGCCATTTTCAGCACTGTTTGCTATTTCTTGTCGGCAAGTTTTTTTTGTTGGCGGAAGCCAAAGTGTTTGGAGAGAATCATATACCTTCGGTAGAAAAACTTGCAATCCTAGTCAATTAAGATTAAGAGTCGAACGCACCCGCATGAGGGCTCGAACTCACAACCTCAGTGTTGACAAAGTGGTACAGCAGTTGAACTACTTAGACCACTCGGTCACCGATGCCTACCAATTTATTCATTGAAGCATTGCGATAATTGTCTTCTTTCATTCAGTCAGTCAAACAACTTTACTCAAAATACACACAGTGCATTATAAAATTGAGAATGGAAACGGGGAATGTGTCAAAAAGACAACAACCCGACCAAAGAGCAGAAAACAGCCCAAGGCCACAATGGGTCTGCAACACAGCGAAAAAATCCCGCACCCGGAGGCGGGCTCCAGCTGGCCCCTAAATCAAAATGTGTGCTAGTTCAGCGAAAATGGACGTCATATTAAACTCCAAAACATATATATGAACCAAAATTGAAAAAAAAACATACAAGACTAACAAAGTCCAGAGGTTCCTGACTTGGGACAGGCGCATAAATGCGGCGGGATTAACATGTTAGCCTTTTAATCAACATTTTACTATTTTTAGGTCCATAGTCAATGTTTTATTTTATTTTATCTTTCTAATTTTGTTTTATAGGTTTTCCATCAAGAATGCGATACTACTCCAGAAGTTTTGCATGTGGAATCAGCACCACTCGATAAAATATATGTATTAACATGGGCTTGAATAAAGACAAATTCGAAAGTGTAATTTTTCATTATTTAAGAACTCGAAAAATAGCTAGGTATAAAGCATGGGAGATTTGGGAGTAGTCAACGAGAAACCAAATAAAACTTGCCCTTCGTTAAACGGTCTTCAACAACAGACAGCAAACCTAGAGTCTACGTGCAATGTTCATGCTCTTAATTGTCCTGAATCTAAATCAGATGTGAACTGAATTTGTAAAACACAAAAATCAAAGAAAATCATATTTTAATAAATACATAGTGTTTACAATTTTTTAAATCTTTTTAAAATTTTTTATCGTTATTTTCGGGTCAAGTGCTTTTCCCATATTCTGTTTTGTCTCTCCTGCAACGAAATTCATGGAGAAACAAAGCCCTTCATTAGATGTTTGCCCAATGATATACATGTATATATATAATTATATGTAGAATCTTGTTACATGTAGTCCACATATCGTTATTAAAATTAGACCAAACCCTCCATTAATTCAGATTACTATATTGCCAGGAAACACGTCTGTTGATACCGAATGTCATGACAACTTTGTTATGATATTTGTAAATTTTGTGTCGCTAACACATATTTGAAAGTTTCTGTTGAATGATATATCACATTGTTTTACTCCTGACGATTTATAGCTTAATTGACATACTGTACATTCATTATTATTCTTTGGATACCAATTTTCGTGGCTGTCGTGGATACAAGTGAACCACAGATTTAAATGTCAGCGAATTAAAAATTGTCCATAAGTATGTATGCAGACTTTGGCCAAAGACAAGATATCAAATATACATGCGCATGCAAGTTTTCCCAAATCCACGTAAAATTGGTACCCACGAAAATAAATGAATCCACAGTATTGTATAAGACGCCTGGCAATTGTTGAAGACTGTAGACAATTTGTTTTGTTTGGTTACTCCCTTATTGACGTTTATGCAAACTCTCAAATTATTCAATTAACTAAACGTATTAGAATTAAAACAACACCGGCAGCGTAATAAATAAGTACGAACAGACCGGAAATAGTACACGAAGGGCACAAGCAAAGGAACGAATCAGTAAATAGGAATTTCATATACGAACATTTATATACAGTGGTATCTGTTTAATTTCGTCACAGCTTTTAGACCTCAGACGTTTTAGAGCTTTGAATATTTTATAGAAATATGTTAGTTTTTGTAAACGGAATGCCTTAAACTGGATGCCTTTTGATGGTAAAAAAAAGTAAACCACTTTTAAATCATTTTGACGGATCTGACCTAACGATTAAAAATGAACTTGTACCAAATGTATACTACAAAACGTGATAGCGTCAGTCTTATCTAACACTGATGGTCACGTTCTTAGCCAACTTGGTCCATTAAACAGTCGTCAAACTTTGTGATTTAACACAGTTACTGTAATATATCAACTGGATCTAATTTATTCACAGTTACAGTAGGTATTTCTAATCCACTCTGCATTACAACATGAAAAGAAAAAAAAAAAGAGAAAAATCGTCGAGAAATGAAGAAGAAAAAAAGAAAACTAAACTTAATAGTTGTACTGTTACACCACTGTCCCAGGTTAGGGGGACGGTTGGGGTCCCGCTAACATGTTTAACCCCGCCACATTCTGTATGTATGTGCCTGTCCCAAGTCAGAAGCCTGTAATTCAGTGGTTGTCGTTTGTTTATGTGTTTCATATTTGTTTTTCGTTCATTTTTTGTACATAAATTAGGCCGTTAGTTTTCTCGTTTGAATTGTTTTACATTGTCATTTCGGGGCCTTTTATAGCTGACTGTGCGGTATGGGCTTTGCTCATTGTTGAAGGCCGTACGGTGACCTATAGTTGTTAATCTCTGTGTCATTTGGTCTCTTGTGGAGAGTTGTCTCATTGGCAATCATACCACATCTTCTCTTTTATATTAACAAAGCAAAACAAAAATATCAAAACATACCAAATAAAAAACAAAAGCATTATAATAAAACAACATATATAGATATAAGAAGATGTGGTATGAGTGACAATGAGACAACTCTCCATCCAAGTCAAAATTTATAAAAGTAAACCATTATAGGTCACAGTACATATATGCATGCACACAAATAACGACAAACAGATAGGAAAACCAACCAACGGATTTATCTTTTACACTCAGGCAGTTAGTATTCTCGATTGAATTGTTTTACATTTATCATATCGGGGCCTCTTATAGCTTAATATGCGGTATGGGTTTTTCTCATTGCTGAAGGCCGTACGGTGATATATAGTTGCTAACTTCTACGTCATTTGGTCTCTGGTTGAGAGTTGTCTCATTGGCAATCATACCACATCTTCTTATCTTTTTTACAGGATGGAATCAAGTAAATGAAGAAAAACTTGGTATAAAACCTTTAAGTTAATTGGAGACATAAAGAGTTAAAGCATGTAAAACTAGCGTCGTTAAAAATTAATATAGAAATGAAAGTTGCAATAGTTGCAAGTTATCATCGAAACGCAAACTAAAAAACGGACAAAATATGGGTGTTAACATCTATGTCGTGTTCAGCTTTAGCTAAACTCGATGTAGTGTCCCCTACGCGTAAACTAAATCTAGTATGATCTCATAGATACATAAAATATTTACATGTAGTTTATTTTAGGTTTTGATTACATACAGTCGAAAGCCAGTAAATGCCTTGTGCGGGTTAAGTGAACATACACCTATTTGAAGTATAAAATTTTAGTGGAAATCAGTTTCATTCCATGTTATATTGACGACGGTTTCCAACCAGTTTTTTTATCTCATAATCGTGACATCGTTAGAACTTTTAAAGTAAACCAAATCAAATGAACATTTTTCATAACAGTTATCGTCAACAGAAGTTAGCAGAGCAAAAATCGATTAAATGTAAAAAATTATAACAAAAATTACGAACTCCGAGGTTATTTCAAAAAGTCCGTAAAAATAACAAATTCGAACGTTGGACCTTATCAACCAACTGAACGAATGAAAAAAAAATGTCATATTTCTGACTTGGTACAGGCATTTCCCGAAGAAAATGGGAGGTTAAATTTGGATTTACACCTAACTGAACCTCCCACTTGTACGACAGTTTTTTTTTATAGTTCCGTTATATTAACAAATAAAAAGACTAGGCAGACAAACGCTATAACAACCGGAATCCAACAGCCAAAAATGTAATGTACATTTGAATTTCTTCTAGTGTACTCGTGTGAACATTTCTCGTATACAGGTAGTTGAAACCGATGTACAACTGAGAACAATGCGAAAACAGTGTTTATTACATGTATAACTAATTGAAAACAGGTTTAAAGTATGTGACGTTTGTTGTGAACACGTCCATAATTCAACCGTATCTATGTGCACAACATAAGAGACAGTCTTTGAGATGTTGGAGATGGTGGGTATATGCCATTGAGACACCAAACAAACGACAACAGTAGCCAACAGACATCGTGAGGGCTACATACAGTGTTCAACAAAATTAGTTGTATATACAATATATCAAGCTTTAGATCTTTTCGAGTCTATAAAAGGTGAGGAGATAATTTAACAGACATAGATCTACCTTTTAAAAAGCCAAACGTCGAAAATCATTAAGATATCATTAAGATATGACATTCATTCAATATTTGTCTTCACATGTTTTTGCTATGAGAGAGAAAAAACACAACCCCTGACCCTCCAAAGCCCCCTCCCCCCCAAACCCCCCCCCCCCCCCCCCCCCCATAAAATAAAGAAATGAAGGAAGAACATGTTTGCTGTGTCCTACTAATTTCATTTCGATTTCAGATGAGGAATATTTTACTATTTGCTTTGTTATATGTCATTCATATACAAGAAGCAGATCTATTTATTCATGGTAAGTGTTGTACAACGTTTTATACTTATAACACAAATAAAATATTAGAAGTAACACATCAAACATGAATAGACAATATAAATACGACGCGCATCAAACTTCGCAATCTTGAAGCAATTTTCAAATTAGAAAGATAATTTTGCAGAAATGAAATCGTTTATCTTTGAATAAATTATATTTTTGCTGTTTCATTGTCATTTTTCAACATTTCATTTTAATATGACATATTTCTACTATTTCCTTTTGATAACTATAGTACAACGTTTTATACTTATAACACAAATACATTATTAGACGTAACACATCAAACGTGAATAGACAATTTTAAAACGCTCATCTATCCTCCAAAACTTTAAATTAGAAGAAAACAAGAAGTTATTTGTAATTATTACAACAAAAACATGTAATGAGATAACGCAAAACTTTCTGAATTTCACTTTATTTTCTTTTTTTCCACACCTCTTGTATGCTTGTGATGTAAGGTGTTACTGGATGTGATTGTGTTAACATGGCCCAATTGTCAGCTTGTTTAACATTTTGTAAATTTTTTCTTCCTTTAACCAGTCTTTGTCACATGCTTGTGCTGCTTAGGGAACCGAACATATTCTTGACAAAGTGTGAATCTATCCTAAAATAAACATATGATTCTCTGTTTCCATTTTCAATTTTATGGGACTGTTATCCGACAGGTCTACAATCTGTTATATGATTTTTAGGGCAGTAATTGACAAAAACTTGGCAATCGAGAGCACACCTTATAAGACGAAATGCAACCTTTCTGTGTGCATTTTTTGATATTCATTTTAAATCTATTTCAATTAATAAAAAGAATACAATATATATAAAAAATGAGTGCCATGAAAAACTGTCCTAGATGATTAGGTTTTGCATAACTGGTATATTAAACATTATAATTATATCAATTTGTGTATTTGATGTAATTGAATGTACTATTGATTCATTTATTTTTGTGGATACCCATTTTCGTAAAATACAAAAAAAAGAAAAGAAGAAAACTCTAGATTTACCTTCATCAGGAACGCTCAGAGCCGAATACTTGAAAGCCTACGTTGTCTAAGATGATCGTTGAAGTTCGTATCTGCATGACAAATAAATAAAGAACTGGTTGTAGTATTTAAGTTAAATTCTAAATAACTCTTTTTCTCAGGTCAA